CGTGCTTTAGTGGGATCCTAGTGGTGTCCATGGAGCGCGGTTATGCAAATTCTCCCGGCTCCTCCACCCTGTGTCACCGAGGGGGATGATTAACGATGTTCCGGGCTGTCTTTCCGGGACACAGGAGGGGTGATGGGGGCTCTCGCCCACCCTTCCCATCCAGCACAAATTGCCATGTGCAGCTTTTTGATTTGTACGCAAATCCAAACCGTCAGGACAGCGGAGCAGCTAATTTAGCAGCGTTTCCCCCAAATCCCAGATGGCTCAGTGCCATCTATTAGGCGCAGCCTTGATGTGTCTCGTGCCCTCAGCATCCCCGCAGAACGGTGACTGCCGTAGCAGGGCCGCGGTGCTGATGTCCCGCTCTGGCGAGAAGGAAGGGCCCAGCTGTGCTGGGGGAGGGCGGGGAGTCCTCCAGGGCTGCGGGTTTAATGAGAAATGTAAAACTCGATCAGAGGAGCCGTGAAGTGGCACGGAGCACATCTATCCTCCCTCCGTCTCCCGTGGCCTCTTTGCTTTGTCCTTTAGAAAGGACGAGAAGAATATGGAGGCAGATCAAATTAGACTCGGCCTTTGAGTGCACCGACGTGCCTCTTCCCTCGGAAGGAGCATGTGTTCGGATTAGAACACCTGGGTTCGTCTCATTTCTGTCATTAACTTGCGACCAAGTTAATCTCTGTGGCCACATATGTGAAGTGGAGATAAAGCTGCTTATCCATCCCTCCGGAGTCCTGCGCGACATGGCTGCAAAATATTTAGAAGCGGGCACATGAAAGATAGCGCTAGGCTTAGCAGAGCAAAGCGCAGCAGTCGGTGTCCATACCCCCTGATCCACCAGACCGGGGTCAGCCTCCTGCAAATCCTGGGAAAGAGCGGCTGGCTTCTCTGGGGGTTGGTGTCTCTGCTGTATCTGAGACAAACCAGCGAGTAAAGGAAGGGGATTCTGAGGAATTTAATGTTGCACGTTACTGCCAAATTGTTCAGTCCCTAGAAAACCTGATGGCTCTGTCATTTGCCACGTGGTCGAGCGATGCTTTGTCAGGTTAGGAAACCAGCAGCAGTCAGAATGGTTGTGCCAGACCCCTTCAGTTGGCTTTGCTTACCTCAGAGAAAAGCTCTAGGTTGGCAGCAAGGTCAGGAGAGGAGAGGCCAGAAAATATATGTATAAATGCATAGTATGTGTTTGAAGAAAGAGTAAAATAAAAATGAGGAAAAAAGGGACCAGAACAGAGAAAATGAGGACATTTCTGTTTCTAGCTGGCGTTGGGCGCTGTGGCGGACGAGGGGTCAGGCTGCTGCTAGCTGGCGGGTGAAGCTGTGGAGGGCCGGCAAGCCGGGATGCTCCGGATTTGCTCCGGGGTCGGCTGCTTGCTGGGGTGAGGCTCGCGGCCCCGCGCCGTGCTGAGAGCCTCTGGGGGCGGTGGGGCCGGCTGCGCTGGGCTGTCGGACACCGCGGCCGCATCTC